TTTTTTAGTATTGACGCAAATTGTATTTATTTTTAAATATTTTGAATATAATTTATAAAAATTTTAATTAATAATTTTGTAGTTATTTTTGGAAAATTTAAAAGTAATGTACAAAACATATGGACAGCGATTAAAAAAAAGGTATAAAAGTTGATAAAAAAAATGTAAAAAAAACTGTATTAAAAACAAACTTTAATTACTTTTAAATATCAATTAATATAACAAAAAAAAATATGAATCGTTTTGTTGTATTGTTTTCAGTGGTCATTATTGCCATTCGTAAGTAATGATAATTAATTTATTGATAGATAATTGCAATTAATTAATTAAATTTTATATTAATTTTATTCAACAACAAAAAAATAGTATCAAGCATAACTGATGCTAAAAAAAGTAAGTTAATTGTCATTTATTTATACAGTATATATATTTATATATATGAGTTATTGATTAAAAATCTTTTTTTTTTTTACTTTTTTTACAAAAAAAAAAATAATCAAAACAAAAATAACTTGAATAAAAGATTCTGACGGTAATTTTTTATTATTTATTTTTTTTAATAATATATTTTTTAATAATATTTTAATATTTTTTTTAAAAATTCAATACTATTTTTTGTTTTTAAAAATAATTATTATTAGGTGCTAGTAATGTTGATTATGGAGATGGTTCAAGCAAATGATGGATAATCAAGTTCATAATTTAATAATTTTAATAAAAATTTGATAATTATTTAATTTAGCTATAATTAGAATTAGAATTTTTTGTTTTTGTTGTATTAATAATAACTAATAAATCATAAATGTTTTAAATGTTTGTTGTTTTTTTCAATTAATATAAAATATATATATTGTTTATTTTGTTGTTGGATCTGATTGTCCATTCAATTGCTAACCACTTCCTACTATTTTAATCTCTCTATTTTTTTCTCTCTCTCTCTTTTATAACTAAATACAATAATAACATTACATTTACAATTATTAAATATTATGGTTTATTTATTTTTCAATATTTCTATCTGTCTATCAGACAGAGTCAGAGACAGACAGACAGTAAGCATGTTATTGATAATAACTGTTGTTTCTAAATTTTAAGCAATTTTTTGCAAACTTAAGTAAATATATTGTTAGTGTATAATATATATATTGTTGTTTTATGTCTATTCAATTGTTAAGAGCTTTCGACTATATAGACTCTCTCTCTCTGAATATGAATGCACACGATAAGTAATTATGATAATTTAACTTCAATAAAAAAATATATAACTTATTTCTTATTATTTATTATTAAATCTGAAATATTAATAAATTATTATTAATTTAAAATAAAAAAATCACTTAAAAACTAAACTTTCTGTAATTTTATTTAAAACTTTCTTAAAAACTTTCATTTTCACGTCTATAGTACCGAACATACAACACTAGTATAATTAAATAGTATAACACTTAACCAAACTATAGGGAACTTTATGGGAAAATATAGGGAATTTTTATGAATATTTCATCAAACAATTAGTCTCTTTATTTATAAAAGGAAATTAAGTTAAGGTATATGAATTTATATTAGGGAAAGAGAGGCTTGTTTGCACACGGCACTAATTAGTTGACCCCATTGTTTTATTAAGTATATAAACAGCTGCATACCATTCATTTGGTTAGTGTTGGTTCCAGTTCTTAAACCAGTTAACCCTAAAGAGTACTGTGTCTAGGATTTGCATTAACATTTTATCGACGCGACGGAGAGGCAATCAAAGTCTACGGAGAGGCAATACTATTAATGCTAGAGAGAAATATCTGACGTCATAACTTATATCCCTCTCTAGCATTAATAGTATTGCCTCTCCGTCGCGTCGATAAAAAGTATGGTTCAGACTAAAACCAGTTAACCCTAAAGAGTACTGTGTTTAGGATTTGCATAAAACTGCAGACCTATAATTAAATTATAATAAATTACTATACATATTTACTGTACTTTTATTTTAATTATTATTAAATAAATACTGTTATATTTAACCTCAAAGCGGATTACCTTTTATTTTATTCAACGGTGAGTCAACAGTATTGGACGGTGTCTATCTACAGGTAGATACCGGTTGTGTTTCATCGGCTCGTATCGGACCGCTGGAGCGTATTAGTGGCTACGAATTGGTGCAACACAACGCAATATATATTGATAATAACTGTTGTTTCTAAATTATACGCATATTTTTAATTTTTGTAACCTTATTTTACAAAATATATTGTTTTTTTCAAATATTTTAATCAAAACTTATAAATAACTAATAACAATATTTTTTTATTGACGCAAATGTATTACTTAAAAATTTTAGTTATAGTTTATTATAATTTTTAATAAATTTAAAGAAAAATAAATTAAGAAATATATTACAAACAAATTTCTATATAGTTATTATGCAATAAATATAAATATATTTAATATTATAGATATAGAAAATAAAAAATTATTGTTAAAAAACAATTAACTAATATATAGTACTATTAAATAAAATTAATTTATTATACCATTTTAATCGTTGTCCATATTTTTAAGTATTAACGTAAATTGTATTTATCTTTAAATATTTTGAATATAATTTAACAACATTTTAATTAATTATTTTGTAGTTATTTTTGGAAAATTTAAAAGTAATGTACAAAACATATGCGATTAAAAAAAGGTATAAAAGTTGATAAAAAAATGTAAAAAAACTTTGTATTAAAAATAAACTTTAATTACTTTAAAATATCAATTAATATAACAAAAAAAATATGAATCGTTTTGTTGTATTGTTTTCAGTGGTCATTATTGCCATTCGTAAGTAATGATAATTAATTGATTGATAGATAATTGCAATTAATTAATTAAATTTTATATTACTTTGTTTTTTATAACAATAAGTATTTGTGAAAAAAAGTAAAAATTATTTAGTATTTAATAAACATTATTATTATTTATCAATTTAATTAATTAATTGTTACAAATAAAATTCAAATTCATTGACAAAAAAAACAATATTTAGATTAAAAATATTAACAAAAAGATTATATAATAATAATAATAATTTTTAATTAAATTTTAGTTGTTGTTTGCCAATGAAAAGCATTTTAATTATGTTTTGAATTATTTTTTTCCATAAAACATAACAGGATCATGATTGTATTGTTGTGATTCAATTGTGCTTGATACTATTAGTGATTAATTAAATAAAAAACAATTAATTAAATAAAAAAATAATTAATTAAATAAAAAATAATTAATTAAATAAAAAAATAATTAATTAATTAATTAAAACTTACGAAAAGCAATGATAACTATTGCAATCAAAACTACGAAACGAATCATTGTTTTTTTTTGTTGAAAGTTTTCCCAAAAAAATGATTGTTTTTTTTTGTTTGGTTTGGTTTGATTTGATTTACAATACAATTCAAAGCACCGGCTTATATACGATTCAAATAATAGAAAAATATGTTTTTTGATTGAAAATTAAATCATATTATTTAACGTCAATTCAGAATATATTTATTAAATTTTTAATAAATTTTTTAGATATAAATTTATTAATTTTAAAAAAAGTAATATATAATTAATATATAGTATAATGTAAGGGTTGCGTGAAGGGGTAGGGGTGGGGAGTAAGGCCATCATACCCCCCTGAGCTCGAGATTTTTAGGTTTTATCCCTGGCCCTAAAAAGTTAAGGGGCCTCCTACCGATTTTTTTAGTTAATGTAAAATTTAATATTCAAATAAAAATATAAATACTAATTGAGTTTTTATATATAAGATTATATATATATAAATAACTTAAATAATTAACTAAATTACAATTTAATAATTTTTAACACTTAATTATAAATACAGTACAATATCATGAATTTTTTAATATAATATTGTAAATAATTAATTAAATAGTAAAAATAAGTAATTATATTTTGTATGAAATAAACTTTAATTTATAAGTTATTTTAGTTAATCAATCATTTATATGAATTTTAAAAAAAAATATTTTTATTTAAAATTTAATTATCAAACTATAGTATAATAAATTTTTTTTGAAAAAAAACTAATTTTTTTATTTCATTCAATATTATACTAGATTTGAATTTTAATCACTTTTAATATTTAATTGTTTTCAGATTATTTAAAATAAAATCTATGAAATCTATTGGTGATATTTGGATATTTATTTTACAATATAATGATCAACTATTATGAAAAAATTATATATTTTTGTGTAGTTTTAAATCTAAAAATCAAATATTATTTTTAGCAAAAATTATAACTTATAATTAGTGTATTGATTAATAATTTTTTATACTCTATTAAATAGTTGTTATGATAGTTGCTAAAAAACGTCAAATAGTTGTTAAAATAGTTATTTAAACTGTATTAAATAGTTGTATATAATTTCCAAAAAAGCCAAATAGTTATTGAAATAGTTATTTATTTTCTTATAAATATTTCAACTAATATATAATTCACTTGTTTTCAGCATATTTACAAAAATGATTTATATAAATAAACTAATTATTTCTATTGTTAAAAAAGTAATATGAGTTGATAACAGTTTACACATTTTATATAATTTATATAACTATTACTTTTTGTTTTTACATATATTTGAGCAATATTTTACAATTTAATGCTTATATTTTTCAAAATAACTGAAATAGTTATTTATAAGTTTTTATAGTTGCTAACATAACAAATAGTTATTTATAGTTATAATGAAATTTCGGGAATAGCGTCCACTGGTCAACTTCGGTGGACATACTAAGTCCCAGTTATAAGCGTTAAACCGACAAAATAATTTTTTTAGTTGAAAATTAAGACACTACTTATAATTAACAACAAAAAAAACGTCAATAAAAATTATATATTTTTTATATTAATCATTTAATAATTATAATAAATGAATGAAACAGAAAAACAGGAATCAAAAAATCAAAACAAATTTTATTCAAATTTATTATTATTTTTAAATAAAAAATAACAACATTTAATTACAGAATATTTATAATAAAATAATTAATAAATAAACATTTTCATTATTTTTCAAACTTAATATTTTTGTACATGGTCTGGTATTGGTTTTTTATTTGGATCTTTAAAAAAAATATTAAAAAATAAATAAATTAATTAATTACAAATAAATTTAATCTAATATGGGTTGTGGTATGTGGTGGGGTGGGGTGGGTGTAGGTAAACAAACAGATAATTACCAGCAATTTCCCCTTCTACTGCTTCACCTCCTCCTCCTCCATCTATTGAATAATAATAATAATAATAATAATATTAATTAATTAATTAATTAATAGATAATTAAATCATAAATTTAGTCAAAAAATTTACCATCTTCATCTTGTCGAGTTATGTTTGATACTATTATTTTTTGTTGTTGATTAAATAAATTAAAAACAAAACAATTAATTAATTAATTAATTAATTAATTAAAAGTAAAATTACAAAATTTTTTTAAAAAAAAATTAATAATTACGAAAAGCAATGATAACTATTGCAACCAATACTACGAAACGATTCATTGTTTTTTTTTGTTGTTGAAAGTTTTCCCAAAAACTTTTTGATTTTTTTTTTGATTGTTTTGTTGTTTGATTTGATTTACAATACAATTCAAAGCACAGACACCTTATATACCTTTCAAATAAAAGACTTAACAGTCATAATGAAAAATATGTTTTTTTTTGTTGAAATTAAATATTATTTTGACGTCAATTCAGAATATATTTATTTTAATTTAAATAATTTTTTTTTATATAAATATTATAAGTAATATAATATACTATATATACCTATATATATATATATAGATAGTCTTTTAGTCCAGTTTTTACTCTAGTTTTTATTCCTGTTTTTTAGTCCAGTTTTTAGTCCAGTTTTTAGTTCATATGTTTTATAGACGAAAATAATTGACTGAAAAAATGATTATTAAAAAGAATTAAATAAGTAATGAATTTAAAGTAAACTAATTATAAGTTTATTTTAGTTTCAATTTCTTTGAAGTTTATTAAATCTTTTTGTTTTTTTCAATCAAATTTCATAATAAAGTGTTTTTAAAATGTTTTTTATTTGGTTTAAAATTACATTTTTTAGTTTGTAATGGTTTATACATCACCTAAGCGCTTCCAGTATCACCAATTAAATACAAAGTTACTATGTTATACTGTATATGTTTCCCTATTATAAGTCAAAAATACTGTTTAACTAAATTAAGTAAATTAATTATAATTAACTATGTTTAATATTATTTAACAATTTGTATTATTATTATATATCTTATTATTATGTTTATTAGTTTGATATGATTTATGCTTTATTATTATTATTGTAAATATGTTTAAATTAATTATTATTATCTTAATATACTGTAATTATAAATACATGTAATGTATTGACTATTCCATTATATATTATCAATAAATTGAAGTCCAATAGCTAGTCTAGGAAGGACTTGAAGGTAAACAGTAGTACTAATTATTTAGCGTAGAGTTTGAATAATAAGTGTAAGCCTAAAGTGTATCACTTTTGGGTCATTAGGCCGTATCTCGCGGACGGACCCTTAGTGTGATCGGGTATAGGCTTCCGATACTAAATACCGATATATAAGCGCAGTTACCAATGACCAGAGCGCCCCGAATGGGCTATTCATATATACTGTGGCGTAATATATAAACTATCCAAATGTACCGTAACTCTTAAATAGTCTTCAAATAGCAACCCGTACAGAAATTACGTCACAGTTCCCTATCAAACATACCCCGCATTGCATATTGCTTCGTAAAGTTATCTTTACGGGCTATTTGACGGTAAACCATAAACATGAACCGTCACAGTCAAAGTGTTTTTAAAATGTTTTTTATTTGGTTTAAAATTACATTTTTAGTTTATTTCCTGTCTTAAGAAATACCAGAAACTAATTGAATAAAACTTTGAAAACAATATCTTATAACTGACAAATGTCTGTTTTATTGACGCAAAAAATATACAGTATTTCAATAGAAATAATTAATTACCGGTAATTATAAATTATAAAACATATTGACATTGGATTAAAAGGGTATAAAAGTTGATGAAAATTTTTTTTCTTATATAGAAATTTCTAAAAAATTATTTAAAAAAAGATTAATTACTAAAAAAACAACAATTAATAAAACAAAAAAAGGCTAAGTTGTCGGCTTTCGAGTACGACATCCCGTGATCCCAATGCTGTCCTATCGTTAATAGGGGTACTCCTCTAACTACTGCACTCTCGGCGGTTATGAGTGCTATACACAGTATAACCAACAATACTAGAGAAAAACATAGTTTAATGGTTCTCAAAACCCCGTGCATGCAATCATTGTAAAAACGGGGGATACAAATCCTGGATATTCTCTCTCTCTCTCTCTCTCTCTCTCTCTCTCTCTCTCTCTCTCTCTCTCTCTCTCTCTCTCTCTCTCTCTCTCTCTCTCTCTCTCTCTCTCTCTCTCTCTCTCTCTCTCTCTCTCTCTCTCTCTCTCTCTCTCTCTCTCTCTCTCTCTCTCTCTCTCTCTCTCTCTCTCTCTCTCTCTCTCTCTCTCTCTCTCTCTCTCTCTCTCTCTCTCTCTCTCTCTCTCTCTCTCTCTCTCTCTCTCTCTCTCTCTCTCTCTCTCTCTCTCTCTAACGACTAATAATTTGATCATTTTTTTCAATCATATAAAACAAACACAACTCTTCATTATTATAGGTCATCAAAGAGTTGGCAATCAAATCATTATAACAATCAGTAAATTAAAAAACATTTTTTTAAAAAAATAATTTTTTTGTGGTTTTATTTAAGGAATGGAACGAAGAAATCGTAAAAAAACTAATCTAAAAAAATCAAATAAAATTATTTATCATTTTTCATAAAATTTGTTAAAATATTTATTGAATTTATTTATTTAATTAAAAAAATTATTTTATTTTATTTATTTATTTAATATTATTATTATAGTATTCGTTGTCACAAATAAAACAAACAAACAAAAAAAAAATCAATTAAAACAATCAATCAAATCGACGCACAAATGAAGGGGAAAAAAGAGACAAAAAGAAAGAGAGATAACCACAAAAAAAAACATTAAAATTATCACAAAATTATTGATTGTTTTTTATATGTATTTCAAAAGATATATATAATAGTAATATATATATATATATATATATATAAATATATCTGATCTTTGATTTGATCAGTAATTTTACAGTCAATCAAATCAAAAATCAAAAAATCAATTTTTTAGTCAATTTTTAGTTAATAATAATAATAACAATAATAATAATAACTATAACAATAACAACAACAATGTTGACCATTCCTATGCGTAATAGTTGGGCGAAACCAGCAAATCGGTAATAACGGCCAACTGGTCGTCGGTAAACTTGAGCTTATGGTCGCGCCAACTGTCGTTATGCGTACGCCTAAAGTTGGATAATGTCTTCTTGATGGTAGTCTTCAGGATAGACAATAAACAGTTAATCCAATTGAAAACTAAACTAAACTAAACTAAACAATCGGTAACTTACGGGTATCGGTTGCGGATCACTCAAATGTCGGGACAAAAATACCAGTATATCGGGCATAAAGTCCGGGACGTCGTAGGGAAAGGCATTAATACAGGCGCAGAGCCCCAGTATAGCTCCGTGACGTTCGTACAGTTCTTTCGGTGCAACAATGGATGTACCGTTTGATTGTCTGACTTTCGACAGCCGTCGTTGAGCTGTCAGTTCAAACTCGCGAATCAGTTGGCCATCGATTTTGATGAATTCGCAGTGAACGAGACCCGACAGTGTTTCGGCTGTCGATTCCCGTACTTCGGTTCGTTCATCGGATAATAGATTGATAATCATTCGCCGTATATCACGGGTCCACTCAGGGTTGGCCATCAATACAAACATATTCGACGATACCATGTACTGGAGGAATGTTGCAATGGCCGACCGGGCGTGCCAATTGGTGGCCATTGTTATCTATTGGCCAAATTGTTTAACAAATCAGGGGATCAGTTATAAGAGTCGACAATTATATACAATATATTTACCTGTTTGGACGTATCGATGGCCACTTGAATGCTTTCGGGAGTCAACAGTGCGTGCGATAACATAATAATGGCTACAAATGTTTCCCGTATCAGCTCCTCATCGCTCGTTTCGCTTTGCATTAGACATAACTGACGGAAAAATGAAAATTCAGTGAAAATTACTGTAAAATTTACGCAAAAAATTCAATAGTAATATTCAAACAAAACTAACGATTGGCAAAAAGCGGAACAGTTCTGGTGGTGCGCTGTAGGCGACACGCGAAACGTTTCCGACAATCCATTTGCAGATAGTCTTCAACAGATTGGCCGCATCTTTGCGCTCCTGTTGTTGTTGATCAGTAAAACCGTTCAGAACAGATACGCCACCGCCGCCGGACTCACTCCTCTTGCCGTCCGTACTATTAGTGGTGTCCACCGATTTGGTTAGCAATTCGAGTCGCGGTAGTATACGATCGACAAAAGCGCTCCGATTTGGCGACAAATCGTAAGTCGACGGCAATGAAGGGATTCGGATGTCAAACATGAAGACATTCGACAGTAAACTATTAAAAAAGATAGTAAACAGTGATTAGAAAACCTAACCAAACAGTTAGTCAATCAAATTGGGACAGACCTGCCGATACGTTCCCTGACATTCTGATAGGAGTGCAGTAAATGATTGTCGCGTTCAAGATATCCAAGCAATTGATCCAACAGTTTCATTGCACGCCATTCCTGCTGCTGAACGGCTCCGTGAAGCAGATACAGACGCGACGCCTGAAGAAACGATGACACCGTTGTTGTTGTTGTTGTCGTAGTAGTAGTTTTGTTGGCAACAACACCATCGACACCGCCACTGCCCAACGGATCGGCCATCAGTACGTCCAACAGCCAGACCATACGTCGGGCGTCACGGTTCTCGAATATAGTGGCCGAACAAGTTCCCCAATCGCCCAGTGTTTCGGTAGTAATATTACTGTAAACCTGGCGTACAATCGGTTCCAAACGGGTGCGCGCCGTCTGCAAGTCGCCGAATGACCAGTGTTTCGAACCACGCAAACAACCGGCAATGATTTCGGCCGAACATCGATGAGCCGATTCCTGGAGACCGTTCACCGATTCGGTAATCCTGGGCATCAGTAGATCCAGATTCTGGGCACCGAACTGTCGGAACACACCTTTCCATAGTTGAAAACGTTTCGACGAAAACTTGTCTTTGCCTTTGTTCTCTTCCAGCGACAAAAAGGTCAACAATCGATCCAAAAACGATTGATCCGAAAAATAATTGAAAACAATTTTCTCCGATTTGTTCATTGATTTCAATTCCGATTGACTCGGATTGATGTCGTAAACCATTAGTGGTTTAGGAAAACAATAGAAACCAATGTGCGGTTTGTCGACAAAAACAAACGAACGAAATTCGGCTTCAGTGGTCAAACTAAGCGATAGATCTGTTTGTAGCCATTGGTTATTGTCGATCGGCTGAGTGGACGCCAACATCGGGTGTTTCGGATGCGGGCGTTTCATTTGACGCATTATAGCACCGAACGATGCAATGGATATCTTACGGATGTATAGTGTGTCGTGAATCAGATTTTTCGTAAACAAATCGACGGCCGAATCGGGTAGCGGTAGGTCGTGTCGGATGAGCATCGATAGCATAACTGCAGACAACTGATAGTATCGCCAGTGTCTGAGTGGACAACAAACAAACAAAAAACAGTTAAAAATCAATTGACAATCAAAACAAAACAATAAGTTTAAGTACAGATCCGAAGTGTTCATCGATGTCACCAATTGATCCACCAGTTCGTGATATTGTTTCAGATTATCCCGGTGTCTATTGGCAGCCAATTGTCGTGCACTAGCTATTTCCGTATCAGTTGGACACTGGCCGGCCGGTCGCGGACTACAGTCGTCATCTGACCAAACTTTGCGGGCCTGTTCGACACACTGGTCGCTAACAGTGGTCGACATCGATAGGGTATCAAAGTATTTGCGCAAATGGCCAGTAATTTCCAGATCCAACAATCGAATAATACTCGGCTTTTCCGAATGTCGGGCATTCACAAGTGCCGGCCAAACGGCCCGTAATGTTGACCAGTCGGCTGCAGTCAACAGCGAATTGCCTTTGCGTCCGAGTATGACATACAGTGTTCCTTTGAACTGTTCGTGATTGTCGTCGTCGACGCCGCTGCTGCCGTCGGCTGCGGGACTCAAATTGGCCAACAGTTTCGGTAGCGGCAAACGATAGGAGCGTTGAAACGATCGAAAACATGTGAACAGTGTTTCTTGCGCTTGACATCGGACTTCGCTGTAGTGACTTGTGGCCAATTGGACCAAATCGGACATCAATTGCTGATGAAGTTCAGTGAATTTGGTAAGCGATTTGTAGGTTACGCGCATCTGATTGGATCAAACAATGGATTAGAAAACAATCAATTGATTTGATTCGCGAGACTTACTTCGTGCTGAAGCATCAGCCGATCGACAGTCAGAGCTCTGATGGTATGTTTCTTTCGGGACAAACGATTTTCCAATGATTTCTTAACCATATGAAAGCCCTTCCAACGGGTATCGAAATCCTGTTTACTGATACCCCAGAAAAACATCATCTGATGATAGATTCGTATCAAACGACACAACGATTTAGTATCGTCTTCGCAGTTGTCGATGATGTGTGTCAGCGCCGATCGCAATGTCTTCAGTACGGTTTGGCGAACATTGGATCCGTCCGAAAATGTTAGTACTTTGGCGCCAACGTTGTCCACAACTGATGTATTGAGCGGAACAAGTGATTCGCGTCTGAAAAAACAACAACAACAAAAAAAAAGACATTAAAGACAATGACTGTTAAGAAATTAGATGACTTGAAGGCGCCGTACAGACAAATGTTGTCGCCATCCCATAGCGGCAGAGCCGATGCCGCACCAGTAATACAGTCCAATATTACGAGTAGACTGCGCTGTAGATCCTCGCGTGACAGCGGCCGCTGGCCGGCCATCCATTCGGTGAGTGCTGACAATTCGGCCGACAAATAACGGTCGAGCAGTCGCTGAGCAAATGCTAACTCTTCAGTAGTGGATTCGTGCCAACGACACGATAAGTCTTTGATATCGACAGTACAGCCCCAGTCCTGGTGGTAGACGACAACATAAAAGACAGTTATGAGAGAAATGTAAGGGATAGGGATGTCTCTAATCGACACTACACTACAGTACTTACTCTAATCGGCAAATCGTTGCCATCAAACTTGCCATAACTGGACCAGTCTTTGGCTATGGACTTGAAGTCGATGGCAAACAATAGAGTCGACGATTTCAGTACATGTTTGATGATAGCACTGGCCAACAGATAGCCTTTACGGCACTTCAATCGTACAGTACGGTCGACTACTTTGACAATTAGGTCGGCGTACGGTAATAGTTGGCGGCCATCGCATCGAACTAATTCGCTAATGATTTGCATTGCAAACAGTAGTTCGTGATCCAAGAATTCTTCGGATAAGATTTCATCGTTTTCGGTCAAAGTCAGTACAAGTCGGCAAAAGTGTGGCAAAAATCTAGACAACGATAGCTCGGCATTGGCCTAAAAAATAATAATAATAATAATAATTACCGATTTAATTATCGGTTAATCGGTAAATTCGGGTCAAATCAACTAACCTTCGAACACGACCGAACCAAAATGGCGGCAAACTTTCCGGCAACTTTGGTCTCGAAAATATGTGTCGATATAAACTGATACAGTTTGTCCAGAGCGCTCTACACACACCCGACCGACGGGTAATTAATTATTGGTTTACTAATTAAATCAATGATGAAATAAAAAAGAAAACATACTTTAAATATCTGCGGCGACGACTGTTGTAGTATCGAACCGAAAGTCGAGGCCAGTCCTACTTCGATGATACCTTCTTCGGTGTTCATCCGGACGTCGTTGTCCTGGCGATCCAATCCACGTGAACTCTGGTCAAGCGATTGCGAGTTTTCAATCAATACGAAACACCGGTCCATAAACTGCAGGACAAAGTCTTCGCACTCGACCGATGCCAGACACAGCTGCGATTCCGTATCGGTCAGATCGGTACGGGTGTCCACCGCAGCCGAACAATCGATCAGCGGTACCAGTGTAACAAACGTAGCGATAAATTGGAAAGTAACCATACATTTGCGCATATCGTTAACATCGAGGCCGTCCAGGGAGTTGAGCAACAGTGGCAGTACATGTAGACGGCCGTCCGAGTACTTGGGATTATCCGAGGCTACCAGTGCTCGGGCAATGGATACTACGCATTGCATCGACGCTGACAATCGATGCGGTTCAGTGAGGGTTTCGAGTGCCGAATAAAGTTTGTCCAATACGGGCGGACAAACAAGTTCGGGCCGTAACAGCGATAGCGATTGGAAAGCCGTAGCCGATTCGATAGAACCCCAACGGGAAAACATGGCAATCATTACGACATTGGTCAGCGACTGGACAAACGAGTCGATATCGGATTCGGTTAGTCGATGCGATTCGGGTATCGGCGTTCGCCACGATGGCCGCTTGAAGCGTTCCCGATGCAAGCGGGCAACGAAAGTGGCCGGCAATTTGAATAACAGTTGCTGTAGTTTGAGATTCCATTTGCCGGTATTGGACGGATGATAGTAGGATTCGCAGGCTTTGAACAGTTTGGTTATATGCGACTGACAAGTGTTGTCCGATTGCTGGTCACCGCCGGTGCCGCCGCCGAGCATTGCCACCAACCATAAGACAACCGAATTGATATGGAATACATTATAGCCGCGCATTATCGACACTTTAGTTGGACCGCCGGCCAAATTGAACGATCGTATTAAATGGGTAAATATGGACGGTATGTACGGACGCCAGTCCAAGTAGCCAATAGTATCGTTGGCCATACGGGCGAACAACGATATGAATGACTGTTCCCAGGCTGGCGTGTTCTGTGCGGCCGTCCATATGGACATTAGTTCGTCAAACCAGAGCCGAAAACCTTGGTCGTGGTGTTCGGGCGGTAAACTTGTCGGTAGAAATAGTTCCATATAAGCGGCCGCTTTGATCATTTCGGTATCAAATGGACACAGAGCTGGACGCCATTCGTCGAGCATTTCAGCCGTCGAGGCGACCGAAAAGTAGACCCGTGAGGCCCGAACCAGACTTTTCAGGGAATTTTCATAATTATCGGGAATGAATAGCATTCCCAGGGATTCATATTTTGAATATAAAGTCCGTTCGTATAGCCTATAGAGTGGTCGCCATTCGAGAGTCAAGTCTTCGCGCGAAATCAGTTCCCGTTTTCTGGTTTTGATTGATTGATTGGTGAAGAATTGGATTAATTCAAGTGATAATTGAATGATCTATTGATTGATTGATTACATACTTAAGCAAAACGGTTAAAACGTTTGAAAATTGTGCGACCAATTGAAGCTCAAGACCATCAGTTTGGATCAGTTCGTAGAGCGTACGGATGAAAAACAAGTGGTCAGACTTTGAAAAGCATAGACCGTATAGTCGAAGATATCTAGAAATAAAATAAACAGAGAGTTAGTCATCGCGACGACGACAACAACAATGGCCATTGAATTTTAAATACTTAGTCAAATCGGTAATCCATTGCAAACCGTAACGATCGTTCAGTACAACCGCACGACTAAAGTTGGCCTTAATTCGGGCCAAAAACTCGACCGATTCGGCATCAATTTGTTCGCTGTACGGCAGATATCGGTTGAATATTATCTCCTTTTGCGGTTCAAAACCTAGTCGGGAGCTACGCGGCGGTGACGACGACAACGGCTGCGATTGCTGGCCATCGCTGTCTTTGTTGATGTTCAAAGCGGTCAGCGAATCGACCGCCGAATCAGTGGACGATAGGCTAGCATTTTCGTCGTTGTTTGAATCCATCAGCATATCAATAATGTCTATCGCTTGATCCATGGCTGCTGATGATGATCATCGCTATCGGCGACGGTGTAGCGGCGGCGGTAATCTAACCGCAGTTACGGGCCGTACAAATCTCTCTCTCTCTCTTGAATCGGTGATCAGTTGATCGGTCTGTTAGTGGACTAAAACTAATTGATTGACAAATCTCTAGTGAATCAATCGGTGACCACTTTATCGGTTCGGTCGATCGGTTAGTGGACTAACAACTAATTGATTGACAAATCTTTATCTCTCTCGTGAATCAGTGACCACTTGATCGGTTCGGTCGGTCAGTCAATCGGTTAGTGGACTAACAACTAATTGATTAAAACAAATCCTCTCTCCTCTCTCTCTCTTAAATCGGTGACCACTTGATCGGTTCGGTCGGTCCGTCGATCGGTTAGTGGACTAACAACTAATTGATTGATTGATTGATTGATATGTAAAACGATTGGATCAGTTGTCTTGAACTTCTTGGACGACAACAACAACAATGTGTTTGTTGTTGTGTTTAGTATTAACTGAATGTCTATGACTTGCAGTTTGTATTAGATTTTTAACTAAAAAAAAAAAAAATAAAATAAAAAAAAATAATATAAAAACTACAGTAATATTCCTAATAGAGATATATTAACGTAAATAATATGTTATTATACAGTGTTTATACTGTACTATCTATACTGTTCTATTTGAATGTTGTATGTTTGTGTGTTAGGCATACTTTCAAACTAAGAGCACACTATTAAAACTGTGTAGTCAAGTTAGTTATACAGGCAAGCAATCACAAAGGCGTTAGTGTTTAAACATTTAGATAATGTTGGAATAAATTAGAATAACTGTTACAAGTCATCGCTGTTGTTGTTGGCCTATAAACTAGAAGCATGATTCAAATGTGTTACCATTGGTTACGTTTACAATACACATATACACACACACAGTGTAATCCATGTTTATGGTTAATATGCTTACAGTCAATGCTAACATAACTAACACTATATATATATATTGACATTACTGTAACCTATGTATAGCGTAGACGTTGACTGCTTGCCTATAAACTTGGTATATGCCTATATTGCATCAATACATTTTTTATATATTAATACCCATTAAATACATACAGTTATCCATTAATTACGTCAATACGTATAAAAACTTATAATAAACTTTTTAATTCGTGATATAATTAATTAGTAATTAATTTAAAAAATTAATAATTTTATTTTTATTAAATTTAATTTTTAAACTAAAAATATAAACTTAATTTTTATTATTTATTATAATAGAAAAAAAACTTTATGTAATATATTTTAATTTTTTTTTTTTTGGATCACATATTAATTAATTAATTATATTTTTTTATTAAATTTAATTAAACTAAAAAAATCTAAATTTTATTATTTATTAAAATTTAAAAACTTTATGTAATTTTTATTTAGTTTTTTTTTTGATCACATTTTTAATCAAAATAATTATTGTTTTTCAATTATAATTAACTATTAATTTGTTTGCATTACAACACGTACTTAGCAATTAACGCGCGTGCGATGACCAGCAATACGTTGAGAACCAGACACACGACCGTCCAGAACACCAATAGTCCGCCGGTTTGGGCGCACGTATCGGCCAAAGTAGTAGTGGTCATCGGCGGCGGCGGCGGCGAAACAGCGGTAGTCGATGGCCATCGGGAAATCGTCGGTAGCCGATAGACAGCGATAGTATCGGTGATCATCGGCGGCGGCGTCACAGAAATCACATGAATCGCTAGCAGTTCGGGAGTCAGCAGCAGACAGGAGTCCGGCGGCGGCAATGGAGGACACGATAGTAGACAGTCATCGATCAGTGATGATTGGGAACAGTTGTCTGGCGGACAGGGAATGATAGCAGTAGTAGTAGTAGTAGTAGTGATGAAGATATCGTCGGATGAATAAATGGGAAGCGTTTGCGATAAACAAAAACAATTAGTAGTAGTTTTGTTGTTACGAAACAATAGTCGAGAACAACGACGAAGACATGATTGACGGCTATTGTCGTCGTCGTTGTCCTCGTTTACGGCGGGACAGTCTGTTGGCGGCGGCGGCGACGGAGAGTAGAAAACCAGTCGAACTGGCGGTCGAAGTGGCGGACGATTTACCGGCGGAAGTGTTCCGGTTGTGTGAATGGCAACAGTTGAAGCAGTTGTGGCCAATGATAGGTTTCGGTCGACAATTTTGACGACAATTTTGTTGGAAAACCGAAACGAAATACAAGTTTTTTGTACGAAAAACAAGACTTCTGGCAAAGTATTATTGTCTTCATCTTCTTCTTCTTCTTCTTCACAGTCAATACAACTAACGGCAGCTCTGGTTGTTTGTATTGTTTTGGAGGACAGTAGGGATGTTGTGTTGTTGTTGGTGTTAATTGGCGGGAAACACACGGACAGTGTGACGACTGCAGGTGACGGTAACGATAGGACGGCGTCGGACGGCAGCGGTATTGGCTGTCGGATGAGGCGTCGCCAGAGAGGCATAAGTTGCAGACAAAACCCGTTGATTGCGATCACAACAAACACAACTCTCAAGATGTTTGGCCATTGAATGTAATCGCAAACCGAAGAAGAAGAAGTAGAAGAATCGTCGTTTGGATCGCAAGAATCGGTGTCTTCTTCTTCTTCTACTTCTTTTACTTCTGACTTCTTGTCGTCGTCGACGACCACTACGGCATCCGAGCGCTGAAACGGCGGTCGGCGGCCACAAACTGTACTGTTGTTGTTGGCCAACAAATCGGCGCTAATTTCCCGGACAACTGGTTCGTGGTCGGGAACTTCGGATTTCGGTTGTTCGGCAAAAAACGGTTCGACTTTCGTAACGAACAGTGTCTCGAAGTGAGCGTCGAATGCAATGTCGTAGCGAACAGAACAGCTGTGGTCAGAGTTACCGCCGCCGACACCGACCGGGCGTCGGACGAGCCGAGGACTGCTGGCAGCGCCGCGGGAGTGCCGTATGGCCAGCACAGCGGGTGGCGGCATCGGACTCATCGTCGAGGAGGACATGGAGGACATACCCAGGGGTGTTGTTGTCATAGAAACAAACTATAACTGTTGGCCGCAATACTACTAATAAATCGATTAACCGATCGATCCGATCGATTGATTGATCGGATGTATGGATAGGTATGGATAGGTCGGTGCAGTCGTGCGGTTATTATATATATAAAAAAAAAGTTTTTTCAAATATACAGTTATCCGACAATAATTGTCCGATTCATTGATGACAGATGGCATTGACTGATAGTTTGCAATTTAATTACAGTTTTTTTTGTCTCAAAAAAAATGTTTTATAATTATAATGAAAAAATAAAACTTTTTTATCCTATAATTCAAAAAAAAAGTTTACTGAAAGTGATGGTCAAAAAAAAATCTTTCAACAAAAAAAATTGTGGCCAAAAAAAATGTCAACAACAACACAGTTATCCGCGGAGTCTCCCGAATAGGTTGTCCGCATCATCGGTTGGTCACAAAAAAAAATTATTGCATAAAAATTATAAATAAATTAATTGTTTAGTTTTGTGTTTTTTTTGTTTGTTAACTAAAACTCGTTTTTATTATTATTATTAATTAATATTATTAATACATTATTATATATATAATAATTATTTTTAATATCCCATCGAAAACAAACGAAACTTCCAACAACAACAACACGACTGTCCCCCCTCTCTCACACACACACACACACACACAAACACCCATCCATCCTCTGTCCACCCGCGCTGTCCGCCCCCCCCGGCCCCGCTCCGATCACTATTTAGCGCCGGCCACCCAATCGGGTTTGTCGGTCTTCGGCGTTTCTTTTTCGCCCAAATCGATCTCTTTTTTTACCGGTTTCAGACCGCCTTTCAGATCCATTTTGGCCAACTTGTAGGTCCACTGTCGCATCTTTTCCATCTGAGTCTGGTATTTGGACACCTTTTTGAGCGGCGGTATAATGCTATCATCAATCAAACAAACAGACAAACAATCAACTGGTTGGTTGGATCAGCTCTTTAAGAAAATTAAACCTTTTTTTAAAAAACTATACTTACAATTTGCCTCTCATGTCGTTTACCCGCGATTGCAGGTCATTGATCTGTTGGGATGATTGGTTGGGTTGGATGGATGGACAGTATGTTAATACCTGTGTTAGTCACGGTAATCAAAATCCCATACCTCGTACTCTTTGATGCACGTAATCAGCTCGAGATCCCATTTTTCTTCATTGAGTCTATAGATCCGATTGTAATACTCTTTACAGATGGCAATCAGTGAGGCTATACATAGATAGATAGGGAGAGAGAGAGAGAGAGAGAGAGAGAGAGAGAGCACAGTTAGCTCATAGCCAAACACACACACACACACCCGACCCAGTTATCTACACTTACCCTCATTTGCGTCGGCCGTTTGTTTGGCGGTTCCGGTCCGCTGAGCGATGACTTTCATTCTCTCTTTTTCCTTCATCTCCTGCTGGCGTTTGACTTCGTCGGCAGCTTTTCGGCGCAACAATTGCTAAACAAACAAACAGACAGACAGTCAACTCGGCTGATAAACTGGCCACTGGCCAAACATATAACTTACCCGCAATCGTTTTTTGCGTTCGGGTGTCATAAAACCTTTTTTGGCTTTTGTCGACTTCATCTGAGCCTCCAATCTCTCCCGGATCTCCTTCTTCTTGCGCTCCTTATCCTCAAACTTGGCCCGTGCTTCGTCCGCCTGATCAGTGGCCAGTGGCCAATGGATAAAGATATTAGGGGGAAAGTTAGCTATAAAAAAAAATAGTAGTATATAATAACTGACCATTTTGTTGGTGATGGTGTGAAAAGAGTGATAACAATTATCTAAACAAACGCAACGGTTAAAAAAAGTCTTTTAAATTTCTTCACTCAAACAAAACAACTGATCTGTTTTCTCCCCTTAAAGAGAGAGAGAGAGAGACGAAGTGACTAAAAATATCCGTTAAAAATATTTTTTTCGTACGGAAAACCTACAAAACGAAACTCGAGATCTTTTTTTTAGAGAAATAAAATAATGAGAGCCAACATCCAACTCCTAAAAAGCTAACACTCCTCGACACTTGAAGGCTTGACGTCACGCATATATACTGTATTATTATTATAGCCAGAGAGAGAGAGAGAGAGAGGCACGCGAGCGCCCGCGCACTCATATGGCACGCACCCTATGGCACGCGGCCAGAGAGATGATGATGAGAAAGAGAGAGAGAGAGAGAGAGAGATGGCATACAATTAGGTGACACAATTGGTTGTGTGTGTGTGTGTGTGTGTGACACACAATCTACAGGTATTGATGTGGAGAGAGAGAGAGAGAGAGAGGGAGAGAGAGAGAGAGAGAGAGAGAGAGAGAGAGAGAGAGAGAGAGAGAGAGAGAGRGAGAGAGAGAGAGAGAGAGAGGAATGGGAAGAAAGTCATGTGCAAAGAGTCAAGAGAAGAGTCGAGAGAAGAGAGAGAGAGAGAGAGAGAGAGAGAGAGAGAGAGAGAGAGAGAGAGAGAGATGAAAATGTTATTTTTAAAGAAACAATCGATTCGTTGACTAAAGAGAAAAGCGATGCAAAAGTTTTTTTTTATTAATATTTTTTTCAATGTTTTGTTTTTATGAGTCTTTGTTTCCATTAAAACAAAGTTCTCTCCAAAAAAAAAAAAATAAAATAAATAAAAAACTATCAAAAAAAAACTTTCAATTATTTTTTGCGAAATAAAATTAAAAACTTTTTTGTTGTTGTTTTGTCTTTGTTTTTGTTGGCGTGAAATTCAATGATTTGGTTTGTTCGCCGAAATGTTTGTTGGCCTCTAACCGCCGATAATGACCCGAAAACTTGTTGTTGACCTGAAATAACCAGCAGTTCTATAGAGCTTATAATATAACTATAACTGTCACCAAAAAAAACAACAAACAAACAAAAAACAAAACAAAAACAGATATTATAGACATACTCTTAGAAAAAAAAAACAATTTTTACTTTTTTTCGATCAATTATTTGATCCCTTAATCTGTTAAGTCTACTAATCCGTGACTTATCTCCTCTCTCTCTCTCTCTCTCTCTCTCTCTCTCTCTCTCTCTCTCTCTCTCTCTCTCTCTCTCTCTCTCTCTCTCTCTCTCTCTCTCTCTCTCTCTCTCTCTCTCTCTCTCTCTCTCTCTCTCTCTCTCTCTCTCTCTCTCTCTCTCTCTCTCTCTCTCTCTCTCTCTCTCTCTCTCTCCTACTCTCTCTCTCTAACTGTTGTCCTCAGTTGTCCTCAAAAAAAAACAATACAAACCTCGAGCCGCGACCTCTTTTTTTTCTCTCTCTCTCTTTCTGTAAAACAAAGTCACGTCTCTCTCTCTCTCTCTCTCTCTCTCTCTCTCTCTCTCTCTCTCTCTCTCTCTCTCTCTCTCTCTCTCTCTCTCTCTCTCTCTCTATCTCTTATCTTTTAGTTGTTTCGGTCGATTGCGTCCAATAAAACTAAAAATAAAATATATATATATATATATTTAAAATAAATGGCGACTCTGTGTCGCGTCACTCGTTCGCAATCGCCGTTACGGTTGTCCCGCGACGACGATTCGGGAGTGGCCACTCTCGGTTCGCCGCCGCCGCCGCCACCACCACCGTTGCAGTCACTGGTCAGCTATGACGTACAATTGGACAACTCGTCCGATAGGCTGATAGTGACTAAAACAGAAATCGCCCGAAACAACCACATCATCGTCAACACAGTCAACAACAACAACGACAACGCCGTCGCCGCTGACCGACGCGTCCACTTTGCCGACAACACGATCGACATTTGGGAGGCATTGGCCAACAGAGTGGACACTATAGATAGCTCGGCCGACAACGACAACAACAACAACTCGTTTTCAGACGACAACTCCGAAGAAGACCAGTCGTCGACAACAACTAGCGAACCGTTGGTCACAGTTCGGGCAGTTGTCGTCATTCTAGGACTTTCGGTAATTATGTTTTTTTTCGGGTAATTTATTATTATTCGGCTATTATATTATAATACATATATATATTATATATATTACCCGAACTTTTTTGCCCCCCCCCCCCGAAGGCAGTGACCACTTTGGCAACTTTGCTGGCGCTGAGACTAACGATGACTACGACTACGGGCGGCGCCATCTGATAGACCGTCAGTAGTAGTAGTAGTAGTAGTAGTCGTTGTCAAAGATATATAACTTATTATTATATAATAAGACTTAATATATTATATTATATTTTCATTTTAAAACAGACTCTTTGAGGTCAAGGTCTTTGAGGCGAAGAAATGCGGAAATGAAGCGAAAAAACATTATTTTTTTAGTTTTTTGTTTTTTTTGTTGAAAAATTCAAATTCAATTCAATTATACATTTTGTAGAGAAAAAAAAAAGTTTTTTTTAAATTTATTATTTAATTTATTTAATAATATTATTATTATTCACAAAAAAAACTAATATTTATATCAAAAAAAAAACACAAAATATATGTATAAATATATATAAAATCATTTAAATAATATATAATTAAAAAAAAATTTTGTTACAAAAAAAACAAACAGCAAAACCAGTCATCACTTTTTGCGGCGCCTAACCATCATTGGTCGCATCATCGGACTGAACGGCAGTCCGCCGCCGCCGGCAGCGGCCGCGGCCATTGGCATCGCGTACGGCATAAGGCCGCCACCAAAACCGCCGGCCGATCCGGCCAGAGCTCCCTGAATGGCCGAATTGACAATCGAGTCGACACCACCGCTGGCGGCCGCGGCGGCAACCGGAGCGGCTGCACCCGACAGTCCGAAAGCCGACTGCATCCTATCGAACAGTGGTCCGCCGTACGTATAGGCCAGACGCAACAGTGGCGGTATTAGGACATAGGGTGTACGGCCCGACTGGCGAAAACGGTGATACATATTGCCGAGAAACGTACGAACCGGATAGCGTCGGGCCGGCGGCCGTGTAGTGGCCGATGATGATGATGATGAGGAACCGCTGCTGCCGCCACTTCCGCCGCTGCTGGAGGACAACGATGATGACGATGAATCGGCAGCCGAAGCTAAACCGGTAGTTGAGGTGATGATGATGACGACGAAGATAACCGATAGTAGACACCAACAACAGTAGACGGAGGACGAGGACTTCATTTTAGTTGTTTTTTTTTCGGTAAATTTTTTTTGTCGTTTTGTTTGGACAGTCGTTTCAAAATTATTTTAATTTACAAAATATATAAAAAATTATTATTATTATTACATTTATATATATATATAAAAAAAATCAGTCGACTGACTGACTGACTGACTGACTTCAGTAGAAAAAAAACCCACTGATCACTGATATATAGATATACTGTTGAAGCGAACCGTTAGCTTTGAGTAGGTATGAGTTTGTATGAGTTTGTATGAGTGAGGAACAGGAGGACAACCAACCTCTCTGTCTCTCTCTCTCTCTCTCTCTCTCTTTGACTAAAAAAAACCGGTTCTTCTGCTTCTTATAATTATTATTATTCTTCTTCTTCTACTAGTAGTAGTAGTCACTGAAGCAAACATCGCCTGCGCGGCGACGACCGCTCTACCGGTGCCACTACGGCCCGTACGCCCTCGTCAAACACCCGACGCAGACCACGTTGGGTCAGTGCCGAACACTCGACATAGGCTACGGCTTTGGTTTTGTGGGCAACTTTTGATGCCTGTTCCCGGCGAACTGGTGACTGACCCGATTCGGCCAGCGAGGCCAGTGTTTCGCGATCGTCACGCAAATCCGACTTAAGGCCAACTAATACCAACGGAACATCGGGACAGTGATGCCGGATTTCGGGTACCCATTTGGCCAGTACGTTGTCCAAGGATGCCGGCGATACTACCGAAAAACATACGAGAAAGACATCGGTTTGCGGATAGCTTAGCGGCCGGAGTCGGTCGTAGTCTTCCTGGCCGGCAGTGTCCCACAGACCAAGCGATACGGTGTGGCCGTCGACAGTGACCAGTGCCGAATAGTTGTCGAATACTGTCGGTACGTATTCGCCGGGAAAGGCATCAGTCTGTTGGCAACCGGAAGTTGTTTTTTAAAAAAGGATGTGTTAAACGAAACGATTACTTACGGTAAACGATATCAACAGACAAGTCTTGCCGACGGTTCCGTCGCCGACAACTACACACTTGACGGCTCGGGTGGCCTGCGGTCTCTGTGGTGGCCGCGAATCGGCGGCGGCGGCTGTGATGTTGGTGGTGGTTGTCGTTGCGTTGTTCATCTGTTCAACTCATTTGTTGTCACCGTTTTTTTCTTGTTGTTGTCGTTGTCGTCTTTGTTTAGTACGTCGCACGTGCGCATTGCTCTCTGTCTTTCAACACGTGCGACGACGCCCTGCCGTTTGGGCGCACTCTCCCTCATCATCATCCCTGTCCTCCTACTCATCCTCTCTCTCTCTCTCTCTCTCTCTCTCTCTCTCTCTCTCTCTCTCTCTCTCTCTCTCTCTCTCTCTCTCTCTCTTTCATTGCAAAAGATATTTTGTTTGTCGTAAAAGTTTTTAAAAATAACTTTTTTTGTATTTTATTTGTTTTGTTTAATTGTATTGTTTTTTGTGTTTAAGTATTTGAAACCCTATAAAAAAATATAAAAAATTTGAAACATATTTTTGTAACACAAAAGCAAAGATACAGTTATTTTGTAATTCAATAGACAAAGTTTTGGACGCGTTTCGCACGTGCGCTGCTGTTAACAGTACATAACAATGCCTTTAAACATAGCAATAGTGAGAGAGAGAGAGAGAGAGAGAGAGAGAGAGAGAGAGAGAGAGAGAGAGAGAGATTGAGATTAAAAGAAAAAACTTGTTTTACAAGTCATTGGGAAAAAAACTAAACAAAAGTTATTTATTTATTATTACTATTATTAGTAATATTATTATGAAATAAAAAAAAACTTATCAAAAGATTAGACAATAATTTTTTGTATTATTATTATTGTTTTAATAATAATGTATTGAAAATCGTGTGAAAATTATTTAGAGATTAAAAAAAATAGATAATATAGTAGTCAACGAAAAAAAAAATGATATCAATAAAGACCGCAAAAAACTTATTATTGTATTTTAATAAAACACAAACAAAAAGCCGACAAAAAATATGTTTCACCAGAAAATGGTCGAACCATCGGTGGTCTACCGATGTCGACGATGGTTGACGACAACAATGTTCGGGTTGACCGCTATCGGTATGCTGTCGACGGCAATCATCGCATCGGTGGCCATTGTTATTGTCTATTCAATCGATTCGGGCGAAACAGATAGCCAGATCTTGGCGGCCAACTCAGCGGCCAAAGTAAGCGGTAAATTGTGTCGGTGTTTTTTTGAGGGACAGTTTACCGAAATATCGGTTTTTTATACAGAACTGGGCCATAATTATGATATGTATGTCGACTGGAGTGACCATTTTGGTGGACGTCTGGTCGTTTACCGGCTCATACAAACAGTCCTACTATATGACCTTAACCTATACTATACTATTGGTAGTTATCATTGGGGGTAGTTGTCTAATATCGTTGCAAACATCGAATTGGTATACATTGATACTGCATCTACTGGTACTGGGACTGGCCTACGATCTCCGATTGTTGCGCAATCATGCATTTGTTAACTATAATAGCCGTCGGCTGGCCGATGAGGAAGCGGCAGTGGCCAGTACTAGTGACCAGTATAGACAACAACCGTCGCCGCAGATGATCGTACAGTTGGTTTCCTGTAGTGAATATACACCGACTGTCCTCCAATCCGCCCCCGATTATTGTCGCCACTTCTATACCGCTACCGCCGCCTCTACCAGTCCTCAGTCGTCCCCCAACTGGACAACCGGTAATTCTGGGACATCTGGATCCGACTCCCCGTATCCAAACCCATCGAAACCCTTGTGGACGTCCTAATCGGCGGGTGCTAACAAAAAAAAATAAATATCACAATATATATATATATAATTTAATTTAGTTCATAAGTTTTTCCATAACTATATTAATTATTGTTACTATTATTTTTTTATGAATAATTTTGTTTTTTATGTTTATATCAATTGTATTATTTTCAAAAAAAATCATATTTCATATAATTGTTTTTATTTATTTTTAAAAAAAAAGTTTCCTATGATTAATAACTTGACGTTATTTTAAATATGTATTTTTCAGTGTTTATTATTATTATTATAGATTTTTTTTGTTGGTATCAATTGTTTGTTTTATTTGCTTATATTTAAATCGCTATTATGTTTGTTTGACTTTTTTGGTTATTATAATACAGGTATTAGAAAAAAATTAATACATATTTTGAACTTCAAATTCAAATTTTATGTATTAATAATAATAATAATTATTATTATTATTTTCTTTCAGTGTACAATTTATGAAACATACACACACAATGATTGCGACAATGATTGTCATTAACTTTAATATATTATGTATTATTTATAAAACAATAATGTCTTCAAGTTATATATATATTTATAGGTATATATATATATATATATATATAAACTTAAACCGTATATATATATATATGTGTTTTCCGGTTAATTCACGCATTAATTGCTAATTATTTTTTTAAGTCTCTCTCTCTCTCTCTCTCTCTCTCTCTCTCTCTCTCTCTCTAGAAATCATTTCATTTCATAGTTTTATGTTTCAAAAAATATAATGTATTCAACAATTCATATCTCAATTAAATATATATATTGTATATATATTGTCGGGCGATAATTATTAAGATAATTGTACATAAAAAAATACAGTTAGAAATGTAAATGTTTTTTTCACACACAACATACACTACTAGACTATATATCTTATTTTAAACTATATATACTGTATATATATATATAAATAATAATTTATATTATCATATATATATACTGTATATATATATATAGTCTACATATACCTAATATACCGGTACTATATATGTATTGTATGTATAACTGTTGCATAACTCACACATAACTTTACACTTTAATTGCTTTTTTGTATTTCGTTGTCTCAAAAAAAAAATTATTTCAAGTCTATACATATGTATATAAAGTATATATACTGTACTATATATATATATATATATATACAATACAATCATTAGGAGTGGAAAATTGGTTATTTTGTTGTTGTATTAGTTGTTATATATATATATATATACAGTATATATATTTTTTTATTAGAAAAATACTAAAACTACTCACTATTCCTGTCCTGATTTGTCACGTTAGTTGTGTTATATGATATATATTAGTACTGTATATATAATATATAATGTATAATAATACGGGTATATAATAAACTGTTTGATATAAGTATTATTTTATCAAAATTACTCCATAAATATTCTGTATAAATATATTTTTGTATTTCAAAAAAAAAAAAATTTTTTAAATTGTTTTACAATATATTTATGTTGATTTTTATGTTTGTTTTTTTGTGAATAAAAACTAATAATAATAAAAATAATATGCTTGACACTTTTATTTCTAGTATTATTCAACAACAAAATATTAATAAATTAATATTCAAATATTATCTATGAATTATTT